AAAAAAAAAAAAAAAAAAAGATTGTTTTGCTTGAGACCAAGAGTTTGAAACCAGGCTGAGTAACACACTGAGACTCTATCTCTACTTAAAAAAACAAAACAAACAAAAAACCCAGATAGCTGCTGTAGAACTAAATGAGTTGGTACAAGGTGCCTAGTGCATAGTCAGCACTGAATGTTAGCTATTCTTATTACCAAGCAAGCCATGTCCCTTCTTTTCTTTTTTTGGAGACAGAGTCTCACTTTGTTGCTGTTCAGTAGAGTGCTGTGGCGTCACAGCTCACAGCAACCTCCAGCTCTTGGGCTTAGACGATTCTCTTGCCTCAGCCTCCCAAGTAGCTGGGACCACAGGCACCCACTACAACGCCCGGCTATTTTTTGTTGCAGTTTGGCCAGGGTCTGGTTCGAACCAGCCACCCTCAGTATATGGGGCTGGCGCCCTACCCACTGAGCCACAGGCACTGCCCAAGCGGTCTCTTCTTAGCCTCAGTTTCCTCATCTGTAAAATGGGTGGGCACCTTTGCTCTACCAAGACTGACAGAGTGAAATATGATACTGGCTATAAAAGCACAGAGAAAATGAACAGCACTGTCTGACCACTTGTTGTCACCATCCCTGTGCATGTCACCTGGCATCTCTGAGGCCAGTGCCCTCAGCCGGGGCATCCACACAGTCCTTGATCCGCCAGTCCATGATGTAGCCGATGAGAGGGCAGGTGAGAAGGCACAACAGCTGCATGGCCCCAAAGACAGAGGTGTAGAACCCAACTAGGCAGGACACCAAAGGGAATAAGGTCAGGAGCTGGCATGAGAGAGGCCAGAGAGTGCCTTCCGCTGACCCCAGGCTCTTAGATCCCCAAATGCCCAGGGTCACCAGGGTGGGCCCAGGCCCACAGGAGGCCCACCCCCTGCAGAGAAGGCAATGGCAGGTGGGTATGGGCCATGGTCCTGCTCTCTTCTCCCTACCTGACTCTGACGCCTTTTCGCTCTGTTCACTTGTCTCTGTGGGGAAGGGGAAGGGCATGGTAAGGAGAGCTCGGCCAGAATGACCGTCCTATGCCCCACACCCCCTACAGGCCTCCACAGCGCCTCACTCTGCTCCTGGCCGCTGAGCACTATGAACTCCAGCATCTTGTTCATGGCAGCCATGTAGAAGATGATCCGCAGCTGGGTCAAGCCCATGGTGAGGAGGCTCCACAGGAAAATGGGGGCACAGAGACTCTTTCGGAAAGGGACAGACCCTGAGGAGATAGCAGGGAGTGCCCTTGAGCCCCAGCCCACCACTGCCCTCTGCCCTAGCTCATGCGGTTCTAGCAGGGGGCTCTGTGTCACTAACTATACGCCAGCTAATTTTTTCTTTCTTTTTGTTTTTTTTTTTTTGTTTTTTTTTTTTGCAGTTTTTGGCTGGGGCTGGGTTTGAACCCGCCACCTCTGGCATATGGGTCCAGCGCCCTACTCCTTTGAGCCATAGGCACCACCCTCTATTTCTCACTTTATCACCCTAGGTAGTGCCATGGCATCCTAGCTCACAGCAACCTCTAACTCTTGGGCTTAAGCGATTTTCTTGCCTCAGCCTCTCAGGTACCTGAGACTACAGGAGCCTGCCTGGCTATTTGTTTTGTTGTTGCAGTTGTCATTTGCTGCTTAGCAGGCCCGGGTCAGGTTCGAATCCGCCAGCCCCAGTGTATGTGGCCGGTGCCCTAACCACTTAGCTACGAGCGCCAAGCCTAGTTTTTCTCCTTTTAGTTGAGATGGGGTCTAGTTCATGCTCAGGCTGGTCTGAAACTCCTGAGCTCATGCAATCCATGCCTTCCAGAGTGCTATTATTACAGGTGTGAGCCGCCATGCCCAGCCAACTATGTAACTTTAGGGAAGGACAGATGGTGATGGGAAAGTTCAGGCTCCCATGCCCCCAAGTTCTCACCCAGCTCTATAACTCTACACAGAACATTGGTAGGTGACCACCTATGCTTTGTATGGTAATATTCTGCAGCGCCTACCATGGGCTACACACTTGACATGTATTATCTCATTTAATTAAATCTGACAACAGGGCTGGGCACAATGGCTCATGCCCCTAATCCTAGCACTCTGGGAGGCTGAGGCAGGTGGACTGCTTGAGCTCACAAGTTTGAGACCATCCTCAGCAAAAGCAAGACACCATCTCTACTAAAAATAGAAAAACTGAGGCACGAGGATCGATTGAGTCCAAGTTGGAGGTTGATGTGAGGTATGACACCACGGCACTGTACCCAGAGTGACAGCTTGAAATGCTGTCTCAAAAAAATAAATCTGACAACAGTCCTATCTTTACCACATTTTACAGGTGAGGAAACTGCAGCTCACAGAGCTCTATGACTTGCCCAAACTCACAGGGCCTGATTCTGGCTCATGCCCTTAACCACTCTGCCTCTGAGGATGGGCAGCAGGGGAAACCATCCTCATAACCACACACCATTCTGCACCTTACAAAGAGCTTCCATGTCTGCTGTGGTATTCAATAGTCACAACTAACTTCCCTGTGAGGTAGGTGTTATTCGTGCTAGTCTAAGCAATAAGGAAATGAAGAGCAAGATGAGGTGATCTACTCAAGTCACATGGCCCATAACTGGGAGCAGAACTCAAATCCCCCATCTCCTGAGTCCAAGGGACTTCTTCCTGCTAGGCATGATGGTTCATTCCTATAATCCCAGCATTTGGGAAGCTGAGGCAGGAGGATCACTGGAGGCCAGGAGTTCAAGATCAGCATAAACAACATAGTGAGACCTCCCATCTCTAACCCCTCAAAGGAACTTCTTCCACTAATCATGGAGGCAGCAGTCCTGGGGTTTCAGGCAAGTTGCCCAGGCAGGTGGGTGCAGCTCCTCCTATAGCCAGCAGGGGGCATCGCCAGCCAGGTGCTGGAGGGCTCTTGCCCGGTAGTAGCTCGGGCTTGACTGCACCTGATGCAATAGATTTTATAAGTTGCAGGGCACTCAAAGGAAACCAGCTGCCCCACAGGATCAGAAACCCTACTACCCCCATTCTAGGACATCCTCCGTTCCCCATCCTGAGAATCCAGTAGGATACCCCTAAATATGAACTTCCCAAAGCTTTGATTTCCCCACCTGTAAATGGGAAGCATGCCCCACCTACATCATGGGTTGTTGTAAGGACTGAGAGAAGAACTGAGAAAGAGGCTTGAGTGCTCACGAAGCAGAAGCACCCACCCTCCCCGTCCCCCAAGGCAGGCACCTTGATCAGATGAGACACTTACTCTCAGGAAGTTTTTCTGAGGTACCACGAACATCCTGGGATGAGATAAAGATGTCATCCCCCTCCTCCAGGCTAGGGGCCTTCTGGCTCAGCCGCTGGCCCACTGTGGTCACGTGGGTATAGAAGCGGTCGCCTGTCACCTTGTGATCCAGGGCCAGCCCGCTGAGCTTGATCTTCTTTCTGCCAGCAGCCGGGTCAGAGAGTGTGGGAACTAGCCACCAGAGCCCAGCCCCAACAGTCGACCACTAGGCAGCTGCCCCAGTCTGTCCCAGTACCAACATGCCCAATAACAAGCTCCCAAATGTGGGGATCCTGTCTGTGATGCTCAGAACCTGCCCCAGGGACCAGCTTAGCACAGATGCCCGGTAGAGAGTACATCAGCTACTTTTCACTCAGGCTGTCCCCATAAGGAGGAAGCATTAAAATCTCAGACAGGAGTCAGCCGTCTGACTCCCCCTTTTAATGGTGTGACTTACAGCATGTCACTTCCTTTCCTGCACTTCTGTTATTAATGGAGTCAATAATAGAATCCACCTCACATAGCTGTCTGAGAATGGTATGGAGGCTAAGTACAGCGCCTGGCATACAGTAGGCACTCAATAACTGCCAGTTACATGACTGTCACCCTGTGTGCTTGCTGTGGAGCCTCACCCCCTACCCCTAATGAACTGATATGCAGCTGGGAAACCTTGGCATTTAGGTTGCCCCACAAAAGGTGGGGTGCTTGGTTATTTTGTAACCCCCCTTTTGGGTCTACATGGCATCTGGTGCTATTGCTGGGGTCCCTCTGATCTCCTCCAAACCCACAAAGGATAATACCAATAATAGTTACTATGTTTTGGTCACCTGTTATATGCCAGCTCTATGACTTAAAACGCCTGTGGATGGCTAGGAGCAGGCCTACTACACAGATGAAAACCAGAGCTCAGAGAGCTCAAGCAATTTGCCAGGGTGAGATCTAAGCTGAAGTCTCCCTGACTCCAAAGCTGATTCTCTCCATCCTGTCACCACAGCCGGGCTCCCCTTCTGCAGTTGAGGAGCCGTTGCCCATTCCAGCCACTCACGTGTAATTAACTTCCTCAGGGGCAGGAAAGGCTTCAACAGGCCAGTTGAGAGCACAGTTCAGAAAGATAAGACAGGCCAGGCCAGACCAGGTGAACATGATGACCACGAAGGTCACACCAGCATCTTTGATCAGCTGTGGGAGGAGGGTAAAGGTTCACAGAGGAGGCCCCTTGGTCCTAGACTCCACTCAGGTATAGCCCAGGGCTCAGAGGCCTTAAAAGAAAGTCTCTTCTATCCAACTCTTTGTGCCCAATTTGCAGATGAGGAAATTGAGGCCAGAAGCAGAGTCAGATCAAGAAGACTCACCATTCTTCTTCCTTTTTCACTCAAGTCTCCCTAAAGACATGTGAAGAAGTTCCCACAGAAGTATTGAAGTTGCTGGCCCTCTTTCAAAATATCATTGAAAGCTCAAATGTTATCTTAAAAAGGTACACTCATTTTGCCCATGATTCCACTAATATTCATCTTTATTTTTACACAAGTGTCCAGGCTGGGTGAAGTGGCTCACACCTGTAACCTCTGCACTCTAGAAGGCCAAGGCAGGTGGATCATCTGAGCTCATGAGTTTGAGTCCAGCCTGAGCAAGAGTGAGACCTTGTCTCTAAAACAAAAATAGGCAGGTGTTGTGGCGGATGCCTGTAGTCCCAGCTACTTGGGAGGCTGAGGCAAGAGGATCGCTTGAGTACAAGAGTTTGAGGTTGCCGTGAGCTATGACACTACAGCACTCAATCAGGGGAAAGAAAGTCTCAAAAAGAAAAAAACTGTCCACTTTGTATTAGGTATAAAGGAAAAATTAATACTCTAGGTTTACCAGGCCCTAATGGCACATTCCCTGGGGGAAAGGCAGGCCCAGTCTGTGAAGCCTCATCTCCTCTTTCACAGGTGGTCCGAGGTGGCACAACTGAGTGATTTGGGGGGAAGCGCTAGTCCTCTGCCTAAGGTCTCCTGAGCCCAGAACAGGTAGCTTCAGAATTGGTTGGGATTTTATGCACTCATGGGAGATCTGGGGCACAGAAGTGACGTCCTCCTCCGGTCCTTCCCATACTCTCCACTAGAATGACTGATGTCTGCCCTACATTCAGGCTCCTACTCAGAGGTCTCCTTGTGCCTGGAAAAACCTTTGCTCCTCCACAGCAATAGGCCTTGAGGCCTTTTCCTCCTTGGGGGCAGGACAGAGCTTCAAAGAGCCATACCCACAGATGTGTGAAGGTGAAATCTGGTTCCTCAAACTCTACTCCTTTAGTTGAAGAGAGAAGGGAACCACTCACCCACTATGCCTGCTCACCAGAAAACCTGATGACAACCATCCACGCACATTCTCATTCTCAAACTCCTTTGAAGAGTCTGAGCAAAAGTACCTTCTAAACTAAAAAAATTAATTGCCCAAGGTGGAGTGTGAGGAGTACATCATGGCCCAGTAAAGGGTTCTTTGATATCTTTTGACAGAGGAAGAAAACAGAAGCCCCTGGCTTGCCCAAATTAAAACTCAGATAGATCTCCTGGCTTCCTGGTCCACCACACTGACCTGTCCAGGATATAGCCTGGAATGGACTACATTTTTGATCTCAGACCAAGTCACTCAGCTTTGTCTGAAGATGTGGAAAAAGATATGGCCCAAAAAGTTGGATGAGGCCAGGGAGTCAGGGACCTTGAATGCAAGTGAAGGGGTTGGATTTGATTTTGTAGATAAAGCAAAACCACTGAAGGTTTTTCAGCAGGTGTGTGGGCCAGTTCTCCATCAGAGGTCATTCTGGAAGTCATGGGAAAGATGAATTAGAGAGAAAAAAGATCAGAAGCAGGGAGACCAGCCCAGGAGAGAGAAGGCAAGCCTGCAGTGGGACAGCAGCAAAGAAGGAACACAAAGACGCAGCGAAGTCAGACCCACGGAGAAGCACCAGCCACTGCACACCCAGCCCCACCGGTTCTCATCAAGGCAAATAAAACCCAGGAGACCTCACTGTCCCTCTCACTGCCACCCCTGAGGCAGCTCCATACCTTGATTCCCGGGAACGTGATGGCAGAAGAGGCATAGGAGCCAATCATGAGGGCCATGAACGTGGAGCGCAGGTTCCCAAACATGTTGGGCAGCTGAGGGGCAAGAGTGGAACCCATGAGCAGGGGACACCCTGACACACACCCAGGGTTCCCAGCCCAGCTGTGAAAATTGGGCTCTAGGAACCACAAACCCAGGGGATGTGGTGGAAAATGTCAACGTGGGAAACTGTACTCTATCCTCTCCTACACACTCACGATGCATCTAAAAGGCTCCCAGGAGCTCTCTCAAAGAGAAATTTTGTTAATATTGTGTAACCCGAGGGTTTCCCAGTTTGTTGCTTATGGAGCCCCTTTATTGTGTGACACCTCTGAACAACCCATGGAACAGGTGTTTAAGAAAATACTAATTGGGTGGTGCCTGTGACTCAAAGGAGTAGGGTGCAGGCCCCATGTACCAGAGGTGGTGGGTTCAAACCTGGCCCCAGACAAAAACTGCAAAAAACCAAACAAATAAAAACAAAAAACATTAATCTAGTCTGATTCGTTTTAGATGAGAAAATTGAGGCCCCAAAGGGAAAGAAACAAAGAAATACACTCAAATTCACAGAGCACATTAATAACTTTCTCTCCTACTGTGGCCATCTCAGTCCTAACCTAAGGGTGTGACCATGTCTGACCCTAGAGCAAGATGGTGTTTCTTAAACCTCTTGGTGGCCCCAAACACCTCAGCCCAGTTTCTGCTGAATCAGGACAGATCCTGGGGAGGAGGGTGGTGGTGAGAGTGGGAATAGGCAGGGAGCAGGGGCAGGCCAGGTCTCCAGAGGAGGTGGCTTTGACGTAGAGCTGGCCCAGAGCCCCCACCAGTTAAGAATTAATCTTGTACATTCTGCTCAATGGCAATAGCCAGGCCTTGGGGGAAGAGAAAACAAAGGCATGACGTCCTTTACACACACCCCCATCTGGCCCCACCATCCTCCCCAGGTCACCAGAACCCCGCAGCTGGAAAGGATCTCAGAAGCCATACAAAGCTAAACCCTCTTCACAGAGGGGAAAACCGAAGCTCTGAAAAAGGTGGTGTTTAAACACAGAGAGCCAAATCATCCTATGCCTACCAAATGCCTCAGGAGAGGGAGTGGGGACAGGTTGGCCCCCACTCGGGCAGAGGTTTCCCTGGCACCCTGGATCTGCAGGGCACGCAGCCAAGGACGCCAGGGAAGGGCGCCAGGGCCTGGAGGGAGGCAGGGACCCTCCCCCCAAGGTCCGCTGGCTCAGTTTCCGCCAGCACAGCGGGTAGGGCGAGGCGGGCGGCGGCTAACCCCATGTTGGCGGGCTGGGAGCTCGAGGGCAGCAGCCGGGCCGCTGCGCTGGACCTCCGGGGTAAGCCCTGCACAGCTGCCGCAGCAGTCGGGGGGGCGGGACCGGCCGAAGGAGGGGCGGGGTCGTAGAAGGCGGGGCCGGTGCCAGGCCGTGCGATTGGCTGGAGATTACAGCCGGTGGGGCGGTGGCGGGGCGGAGCCGTCTGCCGAGCCCCCTAAGCGGCCCGGGGCGGGGTCGGAGGTCAAGCCCGGCACCCCCGAGAGAAAAGGGATTTAGGGGCTGGAGCCAAGCTACACAGGGCAAAGAAAGGGCTGCAGAGCAGGGCGGGGAGGAAGGGATCCACTTCCTTTGACAGTTGTGAAATGTCCGCGGTTGGAATTAAAGGCAGCTGCTGGGGTAAGATGAAATTCAGCCAAAAACACCCAGTTTGGCTGTCAGGAGGCCGTCGTCCCAGATAAACAGCCCGCCCAAAGCCAGCCCAGCCAGGAACCCTCCCCTTCCCCCACCAAAACACTCCTAAGCCTTTAACCCTTATACTCACATACATAAACATATACAGTTAGAGAAACATATACACAAACTCGCACACACGTGTAATAGGTCACGCCGTGTGAAAAAGCTGTTTTTGTAGGTCAGGCCTGGCCAGGTATGGCCAATTCCATGTAGTTCCTACACTCACCACTACACTTGTGGACTTGAGCCATTTTGCACAGGACAGACTGCTCTCCCACAACGTGGCAAACATATGCACTGTCCCTCCCCCTCACTATCATATTACTCAGTTTTATTTTTCTTCCCAGCACTTAAGACAATGGACATAATTTATTAGTTTACCCCATACGTAAGCTCCTGGAAGGGGAGGACATTGATAGTCCTGTTTGTGCTGTGGCCCCAGCATCCAGAACAGAGCTCGACAGACATTTATAGGCTATGAACACACACATGCACACACGTACACCCTGACACACAGCCTCACCTCCACCCTTAACTGCCACCTGCATGGTTTCACACACCCACTCGATCTGTGTCCACACCCCCACACCCCCGGAAGTCCTGCTGCCAGGACAGGCTTGTTATACTCACAGTGAGTGAAGTGAACGTTAGGCAGATTCCACCAAAGCCATTCAGGGACAGAGCCAGGAATATCAATGGAGACAGAACTAGGAAAAGGAAGAGAGGCAGATGAGGACATTTGGGGACCTGTAGGAGGCCAAGGGCAGAGCCGGGATGGACATCCACCTTCATGATGTGAAGGTGGGGTTCTGGTGACCTGGGGAGGATGGTGGGGCCAGACAGGGGTGTGTGCAAAGGACGTCATGACTTAGTTTCCTCTTCCCCCAAGGCCTGGCTATTGTCACTGAGCAGAACATACAAGATTAATTCTGTCCCTTGTGGAGTCATGAAGGGACAGACAGCTCACCTTCAGTGTTTCGTGATGCCAGGGCCATAAGGGTGCAGGAGGCAGCGAAGGAGGCACTGTGGGGACACAGGGAAGGGGAGGGCTTGACCTGTGAGCCCTCGGAGAGCCCACGTCCCTGCAGCACCAACCTTTGCCCTCCAGCTCCCCACAGCCCAGCCACCTCACCTGCCAACCAGCCGCAAGGGCCGGGGGCCAAAGCGGTCCATGAGGATCCCCAGGGGCAAGGTGGTGGCACTGAGCACAAAGGAACCAATGGTGAAGCCCAGGTTGAGCATCTCATCCTGCAGAGCACAGGTTGGCCACTTGTGGTGCCCATCCTGCGTCGTGGTGGTGATGGTGGTGTTCTCAGCTGAGGAGGAGGAAGGGAGGGCTCAGCACATGACAGCAGGGGCAGCTGGGCACAAAAGAGAGCAGCCTGTACTCAGGGGCCTGTGTTCAAGTTCCATGCCAGGTGACTCTGGGGGGACTCCATAAATGGCAGCAATTAGTATGTGAGAGTTGCACACACACCCAACCTGAGGACTCAACTAATTAAAATGAGATAATGGACATGGAAGCGTTTACCAAGTTGTAATATTCATTCAATGTCCCAGCTCAGGGGGTTTCATGGACCTCCCAAGAGAAAGCACCTCCTAATCTAGGGCAGAGGCAGTGAATGGACCTCTTATGGCCATAACAAGAATTTTCACTCTTGGCTCGGCACCTGTGGCTCAAGTGGCTAAGGTGCCAGCCATGTACGCCCAAGGTAGTGGGTTCGAATCCAGCCAGGGCCCACCAAACAACAATGATAGCTGCAACCAAAAAATAGTCAGGCATTGTGGTGGGTGCCTGTGGTCCCAGCTGCTTGGGAGACAGAGGCAGGAGACTCGCTTGAGCCCAGGAGTTGGAGGTTGCTGTGAGCTGTGATGCCACAGCACTCTACCAGGAGGACAGCTTGAGGCTGTGTCTCAAAAAAAAAAAAAAGAAATTGTTCTCTTTTCTTTCTTTGAAAGCTGATCATATATCCTGTTTAGCAAGATATCTGCATGAAAAATATGGGTGGAATTCAGACCCCAGATATTTTGCATACCTTCTTATGCTTAGAAGAATGAG